TAGTTTCTGACAATACTATTATAGACGTAGTTGAGTTTCTCGGCTATATTTAAAGTGGTCTCTTTGTCTTTCACATATTATTTCTGCAGAGACTGGCTGGAAGTTTTTTCAAATTGACACTATTGACAGTGTTCTTCTTCAATTTTGATATTAAATAGTACTAATTCTACAAAGAGAAGTGATTTTCTGTCTTTGGACGACGAAAATTTCACTAGTGAAAAGGTCTCATTTGACCACCTTTAGTGACTTCAACGTTAGTGTAGTAGATCGATGCTCCGTAGCGAATTTATGTTTGACTTGATACTGGTTTTAGAACTAAAGCGAAATTTTTCCCAAGCGATTGAGGTCGATAGCGAATGACTGTCGAATGATTAGCTTTTTTTTGTCTGATTCAGCAGCTCTTAGGAAAAATCATTCGATTTCCAAACAGTAGAGCATAGAAAAATTGAGTCTGACCTGATTCAAGGAGAAAGACCTAAAGCCATAATTATGATGTGTTGAATTCTACTTCAGAAGATCTTCAAACACGATTCGTAAAGAATTTGAAACAATGAATGCATTCTAATTCAATGTGAACGCTCTACTCACCATATAAAACATGTATGGCTGCCATTTGTGAGTGATCGTGTCGAACGCGACTGAGATGATGATTGATTAAGACATGCATTTACGTGAGAGATGTATTCTTTTTCCGCAATATCCTTTGAGCAAATGATACACGGCTTAGTCTTCTTTGTAACTGTTGCTGATTCACAGCACATCTGCACGTGATTCACATAGTCTGCCTTGTCAATGAATCGAAAGCACACAATACATTTTCGACCATTACTCGAATTCGGAATTTCAGTTGTTTGTTGATTGTTATCATCATCAGTTTTCCTGAATAAACGCCTAATTGATTAATAGAAATAGCAAAGACTAGTCTCTAAGTTTACTTTCCTCTTGAACAAATATGTCATCTAATGAGAACCAACCACATAACTATTAGTGATCGAAAACTGCGTGGCAAAATATTTTCATGACTTTTCTGTACAATATACGTTATGGCTTTTCAATGCTTTTTTCTTACGAAGACTACTTTGTTTCTATTCCGTCGTCATCAACTTCAAGACTACTCTTTTGATCAATGCAATTCAGAAATTTCATATAAAAGTCGTTAGTTAACTCTATATTTCCTTTCTGTTAAAATTCATTTTTCTATGTATCACAATCACAAGAGTACGTCGAACGAAATAGGCTTTCTCGGAAACATTTTATATTTTACTGAATCTTTCACATATATAAACAAACCAACAGCACGACCCATTGGCCTCATGGAGATTCGACGAGCCTTCCACTACTCCTCATTTAGCTACATTTTAATTGACTATTCGTATAGCTTAGCAGTCGATTTCGACAACGAAAGCTTAATTCTGACCAAATTTCTAATGTATTTTCAAGCTATTAATCAAACCTTAGCCTCTGTTGATTCCAATCAGTGTGTTGGGCATCCAAAAAAATAGCTCAACAAAGGTAATAGAGTTGCTGCAGCAGATTCTTCTCTATTTTTGAGTCTTTTTGAAAGCAACTTAAAGAAAAGTTTTGAAATTTTTAGAGCGATATAAAGGCTAAAAGTGACATGAAGTTTTCCTTTCGTCATTCTTTCACAAGTTAAGTATTCTCTTCGAGATTCTTCTTATGACATTTGGACTCAAATCGGAGTGTCGATGTTTTTTCCCGTTACAAAATATTGCTACCTTCGCGTAGGAAATATCAAAATTTCAGAAGCGATGTTAAAAACGTGTTTTTTTATTGATCTAAATGTTGAAAAATCTACCAGAATTCAGTAAGAGAATTTTAAAACGTGATTTTGAGAAAATGCAAGAATGAAAATTTTCGTATTGGTTTACTTGTGTTGTGAATTTTTTCACGTGTGTGTTGATCCTGGAAAAAGTGAGTTCGAGTTGCCATAAGTGTTTACCGGTACATCAGATAGAAAACACTTCAGATCGTATCACGATTGGAAAAAATAAAAAATGGAAAATTTCGAAACTATGATATTCGAAAGAGGTAGATGGAGGTAGTCTTCTTAAGGTAAAATTAGTTTCATATTTCGAAAATTCTATTATGTGGAAACAAAATCAATACTTGTCATATCAAGATGTGCATAACTTACGGGTACAGCATTGTTCGCCTCAATTGTGAAGTCAAGCTCACGGTGATTGTTAGAAGAAAGTAAGGATGCGATCAACAAAACACTTAGAATAGTCTTGTCATTGATTATGATCGTTGATAAATATGAAAGCAGCCACTTGTAGTGTGCTTTATTGACGAATGCTTTTTTATCTAGAAGCAGAATATATAAAAACCAACATGCGTCTACGTTTCGCCTTCCGAACAGCGCCATGTTGCAGACAAAAAAGAAGGCAAGGAATGAGAAGAAGGCTGATTCATAAAGTCTTGACTCATTATGTTGCAACATTTGCCTACGCGTCGCTTTTCCTTCTTTCCAAGTAAAGCAAATTATCCAACAACAACAAACACTCGATGATGTCATGAATTAGATTCTTTCAAGCAAAAAATTACTATAGAAAAAGTGCAAACTTCTATTCATACCCGTTGGGTAATAAATTCATTCGGCTTGTTCTATGCTACAATATTTATCTACCTTTAGAACTGAAATTTTACAAAAAGGAGAAAAAGCCGATTTCGACATCCAAAATCTCTAAAATGTTTCAAAATCTTTTGAAATCTTTTGAATCATATTCGATAAAACTGTTTCTCAGCTATTGTAAAGACAAAACATAGCGATGTTTGGGTCAAATGAAAGAGGGCTCCAGATAATCCTCTAATTGGCCCGAACAACCCTATATTTTGTTCCTACAATAGAAGAGAAAATCCATGCTGAAATCTTATTGGTCCAGCGCTTTGTCTATCGACCAATCAGATTTCAGCATGGATTTTTCCCTTTATTGTTAGGGTAAAACATATCAATTGTTCGATACAATCCTGGAGTTATCCGGGATCCTCTTTCGTTTGACCCGAACATCGATATATTTTATTCTTACAATAACTGAGAAACAGCTTGCTCGAACCTGATTGGTCGATGCTTGAGGTGTAGAGATCACGCTCATGAGCACTTATATAAGGACTTCCAAGCTTAAACTGGACAGCCCTAATGAACACAAGCGAAAACCGGTTGACTCTTATGGGTAACTCGCATATTGGAAGCACGGAAGAAACGCTCACGTTCATATGAGTGTGCACAGATTCCACGGAACTGGAATCGCGTGAAATCTCTCAAAATCTTTCAAAATCTTTTGAAATCTTAAAATCTGCTTTTTTCTCCTGGTGATTTTGACAGAATTTGCAGTAACAAGATGGATATCTAACTCCATACTCATATATCTCCAGAGTTCAAGATATTGAGACAAGGGTGTAAAAAAATGTCTTATCTTGATATCCCTTCCACTCCACACTCGAAAGCCCATAGCTATCCACACACCCTAATTGCAGGTTATCATAATAGAATAAATTTTCGTATTTATCAAAATGATCCAAATACATAAGGTTTGATCAATTTTATAGAAGCAGAAAAACAAACGAACAACAGCATTACAAAATCGAATAAACACGTTGTATAATCGATATAGTAATTATCTCATTACAGCATCTGATCTCATCAATAGATTGTCTTTTGTTGTAGCAAACAAAAATTTATACTTGTACAATGAGAACATCATTTAAAATCGATAAACTAATAGTTCAAAGTATTTTTTCTTGTCGTTCATTATTTCTTTTTCATTAATACACATTTGATTTGAGTTTAGCTGCTGGAGTTTTTAATATTCTGAACGGAAAAATATTCAGAAGTCTACGCCTCAAATTCTCGACATTTTTACTTCCGGCCAAAGCTGGAATAAACGTTGATTCATAACTCGTACTGCAATTTTTTATTTGCAAAATATTTCCATTGGACACAGTAGAATAAATTAACGTCTGAAACTTTCGAACGAGCGAAAGAACGGGTGATGCATAATAAACAGAAAAAAAATGTTTTCTTCCTCTTAGAATTGTTCTCAATATGTTAGAGATTTGATTTTAGGTTCATTCGATAGAGAACTGTTGTAGAACTAAATTTTGAACAAGATGATATGCTTGTTAATTTAAAGAATCGAAACTTTAAGAAAAGAACAATGATATAATCCTGCTAGAAAAAAGGTTTTTCCAGATTTTTTCTATTGTTTACGTCAAAAATCTTGAAATATTTATTAAAAGATACAGAATTTTATCGAGAACTTTTGTAGCATATATGAAATTTCAGTGGCACTTTTACAAATTTTTCGTTTTTTTGATCGTACCAATTACATAATTGAAATGTTCATCTTTTAAATTTTACACCGACAGAAAGGGAAGTCATTTGAAAAACATAGACAGTAGTTTTGCAGAGTAGAAAACTCTATATCAAATAAACCTAAAACGAAGTCTTCAATCTGTTGAGCATTTCGTCCTGTTTATTATGCGTTACTCGTTATTCTTTTGCAACTTTCAGAAAAAAAAACCGTCATTTTATTATTATTCTTCATTCTATTAAACAAAAGTAAAAGAAACGCAATATAGAAAAATGAAAAAGGACAAATACATTATTGTCAAGAAATTGTATCAAATGCATTACGTAGATTTTGTTCTCTTGATCTAATCCATTCAATATTCATCTTGACTTGATTAATTGCTTGTTGGCGTGCTGATTCTCCAGCACCAGCATTTGGATATTTTGTAAATAATTCATTCATCTCAAAGAAAAAAAAAAGCAAAGAAGAAACTTTGAGAAATGTAACTTAGAAAAAAAATAAGAATTATTTTACTTCTTGAAGATCAGATTCTTTACCAAATGTACGTGCAATTGAAAGAATAGCTGCACCAAATCGACCATTTTCAAGTGTGAAACTAAAGGAAGAAAAAAATGATGCTTTGTTTTTTTGAATATATGTTTGACAATAAAATTCTTACGTATTAACTAAATTTTGATAATTATCTTTATAAAAAGTCCAAACTGTTTCTCTTCCAATTGGATGACGACTCATGTAACCCATCATAGTAAAATAATCTTGACGTTTAATTGTATTTGGACGACCTGCTAGTCCATCATTAAGTAATCTTTAAGAAACAAAAAAAATACGAACTAAGATTAAAACTAATTAATCATCTTATAAATTTCCTACTGATTCAAACGATCTCTATTATTTGTTGAACTAATTGCAACTAAAGCACGAGTTTGTTCATGTGTTGATGTTGCTATTTTATAATAATTATACATTCTATTCCAATCAGCTTCATTGGCATCATTTTTTAAATGATATGTATAAACAGTTGATAAGAAATCTGCAGGAATACTACAAATAAAAAGTTTAATTATGTTTTTTTTTTCTCTACTATGCGATGAAAAGACTTTACTTGATATCAGCATTATTATTAAAATATTCTATAGGAATTGATTTAAATAATGCACTTGCTTTTTCAATAGCACTTCGATGATTCATTCGACAAAGAAGTGCAAATTGTAAACTTTTGACTAATCTATTAATAATCAAATAAATAAATAAGAAATATTTGTTTTCTGTATATTATACTTTGTATTGTGATTATCATTAAGATTTAATGCTACAATATTATCAAGTGTCACATCATTGGAAAGAATTTGTTGAATAGAAAAATTCTAAAAGAAATATTCTTGAAAGAAAAACAATTTTAAGTTTTTAAAATTTTTTCGAACTTGAAATTTAGTTAATGTATCAGGTAAATAATCAACTAATTCAGCTAAAGTTTCCCAATGCCATTGAAATGTTTTCCAATGAACATATTGTGTCATATTGATTTGTACTAATGAACGTACAATTCTTAATGGTTCACTATAATCGACTAAACCTTTGTAAGCAAGTAGAAAAGTATCTTGCATTAAATTAACTTTATCTTCATTTGAAAAGAACTAAATTAAATAAGAAAAATAAAATGATTAGATAATCAATTAAATATAATTTACTAGTGGTTGGGCTTCTAATACTGATGTAAAACGTTCCCATGTAATTGATGGAAATATATATTCAGTAACATAAAAACTTTGAAAATCTCGATTACATTTAATCCATGAATAAGATTTTCCAGGTAAAACTCGATTTTCTTGTTCATTTTCAAGAATAAATTTAATTGTATCACCACCTATATTTGTTGTATCTGAATTTGGATAATTACCACCTTGAAAATATAAATTATAAATTGAAATATTTTGTAAGAAAAAAAATATATATATATCTATTTACCTAATACACATTCTATATTTATTTTCCATCGATAATTTTTATTAAGATTTGATGAATTTAATGCATTTGATATAATAAAACGTGATTGAGTAAATACTAATTTTGTATCACCATTTTCTACATTTAAATTAACATTTAATAAAGGATAATTAACTTCATTTAGCCAAGTTTTCATAAATTCTGTTCCATTAGTAATATTTATTAATAATCCATCATAAAACATATTAAGATTACCAACATCAAATGCGTTGATTAATAAATAATCTTGTAAATTAGTACGATATTTTTCTGGACCAACAATTTTTTCTAACATACGCATTAAACTTATACCTTTTGAATATGTTATTGCATCAAGATAACTCATTATTTCAGGAACATTTGTTAGATTTTCAATAACAATTGCATGTGAAGATGGTTTAGCATCATCCCACATAGCTGGAATTGTATCGTCAGTTAATATTTGTAATTCCTTTACAAAGGACAAAGGTCAATAAGAAAATGAAATATATATATATATATATATATCCTACCATATTCCAATCAGAATAATTAGCTGCAAATGTTTTGCGACAAAGCCAACTAACTGTAACTTCACTAAACCATATATCATCCCACCATTTACATGTAACATAATTTCCAATCCCTAAATATTCTTTCTAGATTGAAATTCAATATCAATTAAAACATACAAGAATGAGCAATTTCATGAGCTACGATATCTGCAAATTGTTGTTTTTGAAGTGTTGTTGCAATTTTTTCATCATATATTATACGATCTTCACGAAATGATATAAGACCTGAACTTTCCATAGCAACGGATGCCATATCAAATACAGCCAATATATCTAATTATTTGAATAGAATATTATCTATTTCAAATTAATCTATTTACCAAGTTTAGGTGGTAAAGCTTCATCTGTATTAAAATAATCTTTATAGAATGGAATAGAATTTGAAGCTATTTCAAGTGCTAATGCAGTATGATTTTTCTCTGTTGGTTCTGGACGAGCCCATACTGTAACCTAAATAAAATTTATGTTATTAAAATTGAAAATATTTTTCAAGTCTATAAATGCATACCATTGGTTCATCATCATCATCTGATTTCTTTCCATATGTATCTGGAAGAATACTCCAAGAAGCAACATAAGTACTCATAGGAAATGTATCGGCAAATTTTGTATGACGTAAATTATCTTCAACTGTTAATTCAGTCTTTTAGAAACGACAAAAAAAAACAAATAGTTCACTAAAACAAAGAAAAAGAAAGATTTTTAAAAAAACATACATTTGGAAAATTAGATAAAGCAATAGTATTTCTTGGATGAATAATACTAAGTTTAAATTGTGCTTTTAAATGTGGTTCATCAAAACAAGGAAATGCTTTTCGAGCCTCAATTGCTCGAAATTTCGTAGCTAATAATATTCTAAATAAAAACAAAAAGAGTAAAACAATAAAAAATCTTTTTGTTTCTTTTTTTAAATAATAGTTATTTACCCCATTGTTTCATTTTTATCTTTAAAAAAATTTTGATAAAATCCGACACTAGTACCAGTTAAACTAATAACAAATTTTTGTACTAATTTATATCGATTAGGTGCAAACAAAGAACCGGTTGATTGACGTAAACTTATATAATCATTAGGCATATATTGTCTCATTGTAACAATACGATAAATACCATCTTCAAATAGTGCAGGTTCTTCAAGTTGTATCATTCCTTTTGAATGATAAATAAGTTGTTTAATTGGTTGTTTTAATGTAAATTCAATTGTAACTTGTCCGTCAGCAGTTGTATGTCTTATATCATTGCATATATATTCTAATTCGTAACTATGAACGATTAAATCACTTAATAAACGTGGATTACATTCATCCTCAATACATTGAGATGGATCTTGTGTGATTACTGTTGTTGTTATTGTTGTTGTCATATTTGGTGGTGTTGGTGTTGGCGTTGCCATTATAGTTATATGTTCTGTTCGTCGAGGAAGAAGGCCAGCTAGTAAACCAACAGTTAGTACAGATGCACAATAAAAAATAACAGCAACAATAATCCATGATTTTGGTAAACTACGTAATGATTGAAAATGACCATTTCCTCCACTACCTCTTGATTCATCCAATCCCGGACTGGTTCTTTTAGTGTTAGTCGCCATGTATTTTAATTCTTAACAATGAATACTACTCGTTTACTGTTACTCGTAGTGTTCGTATCTTATTAGTACTGGTTAGTCAATAATAAGAAACACAAAAAAAAAAAGAATATGAAAAGATCTTCTTATTCTATTATTCGTCGTTTTTTCTTACCTTTATTTATTACTGATAAGAGTTGGATGTTACTTCACTGATATGAATACACAGTGACTTGAATTGGGCTTGTTTTACAGATTTTCAGTTTTTTTTATCTACATGTCAATTATAATTTTACGTTTTTTTTTCAAAATCATTATAACACATGATAATGATCCCATGTCATCAAAATCGACAATTTATTAGCACGATTAATCTTGAGATTATATTGCGATTGATCGCCTAAACTGGCAATTTTTAGAAAAAAATTGCGATTATTCAACCACAAGATGATCCATAAATAGCATTGCGATAAAAAACTCGGTACAATCAAATGGATTGATTTTATGATTAGTAGTAGAAGTTTATTCAAAGTTATTTTTCATACGTATAAAGTAAGCAAATACTACTGTCAAGTATTATAGATGGTGTCATAAAAGCAATTTTACCTGTTATCAAATAGAAAAAAACAATACATGTGTAACGTATCATAGATTATTTTCAATTGTCATCTAAGAGAATAATAAGAACAAGGCAAAACAAACTTTATGAATGATTCTGTATTGATATACATAGAACAAATTTTAAAACTAATTAGTTTAAAAGTCAACAGTTACAAAATTTCGCATTTTCAAATATGGAGCAGTGATATTTGTGAGTTGATGTTTTCATACCCAACGAGCTGCAATTGTGTGTATTATATACAGTTCATTTTGCCTGATTCTTATTATTCTCTTAGATGACAACTAATAATTATCTATGAAAATTTACACACATAGATTTTTTTAACTTGATAACAGGTAAAATTGCTTTCATGATATCAACAGCAATAATACTTAACAGTGGTATTTGGATCTATGACTATAGTTGCGTCTCAACCTGTATATCACCGTCGTTTACTATCGTGATCATATATGTTTCTGGTGAATGAGGAGAGAGATGATTTCTTTCTCTTAATCCACAATAAATAGTACAAAAGTTTTGTTTTTTAATAAAATACTATTTATTGTTCGTTTTGTTATTGAGATCATTTGTTGGAAAACCATCGATTTTTTTTCTTCAAGCTACATGATTAATCGTCAAAAGTGATACGATTTTGATGATATGGATGATTAATTAAAATTTTGTGTTAATAAATTTAACATGAATATTTATATTCATAATAACGTCATTATTTTATCTTTATTAACGTGCACTTTTGTTTCAATTTTTGCTAAGGTCAAAAATGTGCTTTCGATAGACAGATTTTGCTTAATACAAGCTGAAAAGTTTATAAACAGATGTTCTTAACAAGAACTAATCTTCTTATTTTAAAATACATTAATACTATGTACAAAATAATAACAGATCAAATTGAGAATAATCTTTCATCCGATCAATGCAATCACGGTATATGAGTCTAAAGCCAACATACAGAGCATGTATATTTTTCATGCACAATTTTTATTACCAACCGTCGATAGGATAGTTTTAAGTAGAGATGTCCTGGGGTCGCCAGCATTGAAAAATCCATTGACAGACTTTTGCTAAAGTTGGCTGTATTTTGGAGCAAGGGGAGTTGAACGTATTTTTGAGAATTAGTGAGCAAAAAAAAAGAACAATAAAACGGTAGAACTCTGCTAGAAAAAAACGAAAATTTTTCAAGATTGGTGGAAAGGTCAAGTTCCCGCTCAGGACATCCCCGGGTTTTAAATTAATCGATATGTAAAAAATCTTTCCATAACCTGTTCGTTCAATGTTTAATCATTTATAAACGATTGTGATTATTCAAAAGTCGTCAACTATTTAGAATGAGCATTTCTTTCTTTTTCTAAATATATTCTTGAGAATTTTTTCAGACTTAAAGTTGTATCATTTGAAACAAATTTTTGAAGAAACCAACAACCATATCTGTATATACTTTTTCATTGAAATCATTTTGATTGAAATTGTTTTATTCTAGACTGAGAAAATCTTTTTATACAACAGTTTTCGAAGTGAAAGTTACTTTACAAGTAACGAAATTTTCTACTGTTTTTACATATTACAACCAAAGATCAAAATTTATTGCAGTTTTAATATTGAAATTCGAAAACAATAACTTATTTTTTTTTATAAATATCGACTCATATAAATACTAGCTCTTCTATATAGCTTTTGATTCTTTTGAATTCTAGCCTTTTACAGCAAAAATTAAACGCTCTACAATAATAGAGAGTTAGAACTATTCCAAAACATCATCTAGAGGATCCAGGTTGGAAAGGTACGATCGTAAATGGCCGTCACTATTAAATATGTCGAGAGAAACGGTCACCGTATGCGATCATTGTATAACTTGAATGTAAACGAATGTTATGCACAACTCGTTCGCATAAGTCGTGTGTTGAGTTGTACTTCTCGAGCACATAGCTTTTGCGTTTTGAATTCATCAATGAATTCAATAGTAAATATTTATTATAAAAAGAAAAACAATTTTTCTTCCTTTATCTAGATTAATTTGAATAACAGATAGGTCAATAAGTATTTTATTTAAATAAAAAGATAATATTTCGGGTGCTAATAGGAAAGAAGAGAAAAAAAATCTTCCATTAAGTAAGAAGAATCTTATGCGAATACGGTACCAGGTCATATAAGCACGGTCATATTGCACTATATTTGTAACCGGTCGGATATTCGATTTTTAGATCGTTATCAACTATGTACGGCACGATAAAATACAGTCGTAATGCTGGGCCTACCAAAACATCAATTTACAGCTATCTATAACCGCAAATTGTGTGAAACGATAGTATACAGTACCGTTTTTGGCCGTTTCGGCGATTGTAAACATCATTCTGAGGTAGCATATTAAGCTGTATGCGATTATCCATGGAAATCATAAGAATAAATTTATTATTATTCTCACAGAAAATTATTATCTATTTATTTGATCAATTCATTTATCAATATATTATTTTTATTGTAGGCAAAATTAAATTACAAAATAAAAATTTATTAAATTTCTCACTATCACTTTTTTGTTACTTTAGTGAATCGAAAATCTTTTGAAAAATATGTCAAAATATAATAAGTTTTTATTTAACTTTTGATAAAGTCAATATTACAATTTATAGATAAAGAAGTGACTAATTGTAATTCAAAAATCAATATACGAATATAATACTTCCTTTTTTTTGACCCAGAAAGATGGTTACATCCTCTGAGACAAGCAAAAACATTACTGTATATTGTATCTTTATACAGTTTGCTGACGTAAATAGCTATAGATAAAAGTTTGGTAAGCGCATTATTACGACCGTATTTTATCATATCATACAAAGTTAATGACATTCGTCAAGTGGTCTGAAAACCAAGTATCCGAACGTTTACGATTGTTTACAATACAGTCGTCATACTGTGCCTACCAAACGGCGAAAACAAAAATAACTAAAACAACCGTGCCTTATTTAACTTGGGTATACTTAATGATGTACATTGCGAATCATGGTAATGTTTATCCGAAGAATAAGGCAATACCCAAGCAGAAAACTTGATTTATTAGTAGAGAAAATAATACTTATCAATAGAACACTCATTTACTAAAAGATAATAATTATAATTATAAAAGTATCACAATTATTGAAATAAGTAATTTATTGTTGTATATGCAAACAAATACAGTCTGCAGAAATTCTCACACATTAAATTTTTTTTGAAAAAAAAACAAAGATATGGCGATTATCATCCTACACAATATTCATCGTCAGCTGCTTTAAAATAAAAACACAAGTTTCTTTCCTTTCTTCCAACGATTTACATTTACGATCGTTTTGTTTTGTCTTGAAAATAAGATATATATTCTCATTTTAAACGAAATAAATCAAGTAACATATTAGATTATTTTTCCTAATGCCATCTTTTCATCGTAAGGATTTTGTCGTTTCTAAACGACATCGTGTTCGATCATTAACAAATAATGAACAAATTATTATTACAAATTCACCTGAACTTTCAATACCAAAAAGAACATCATCAAAACATCGTCGTACTACTCTTATTGCTTTACCACCAACATTAATTAATACATCGAATCAAGATTTACATAATAACCTCGGTATTCAACCAACTATTTTTTTCTATAATGAAGAAACTTTTCAAGAAGTATGTTATCGATCTATTGAAGATATTCGAGAAGTAAAAAATAATGAATGTCTATGGATTGATGTTACAGGTGTAAGTAAAAAATAAAACAAAACAAAAAAGTTTTGTTTTAATTATTTCAATGGAATATAGGTACATGATCATGATTTAATAACTCGTCTTGGTCTACGATATAATATTCATCCATTAGTAGTAGCTGATATTGAAACAACTGAACAACGTACAAAATTAGATGTTTTTGAAGATGCTTTATTTCTTGTTGGTAAAATGATCTATCCAGATAATATTCAACAAATAACACATATTGAACAGATTAGTTTTTATTTAAAAGAAAATATTTTGATAACATTTCAAGAAAAATCTAAAGATATTTTTGGACCAATTAAAAGTTCGTATAATAAAAATTTATTATTATTATTTACTTATTAATGAAAATTATTTTTGTTTTTTTCCTTAATAGATCGTATACGACAAAATAAAGGTCGTATTCGACGATCGAAAATTGATTATTTATTTTATTCATTAGTTGATAGAATTGTTGATCAATATATGGATGTATTAGATATAATTGGTACAAAAGTTGAAGCTATTGATCATCAATTAATGCATACATTATCACGTGATACACTTGAAAAAATTTATGATCTTAAACGTGAAATGCTTTATTTTCGTCGTTCAATATCACCATTAAAAGAAATAATTAATAAATTACAAAAAGAAGAAGAAACACAAATTATGCAAGAAAGTACAAATATTTATTTAAAAGATTTATTTGATCATATTGTACAAGTTAATGATACAATTGATACATATAGAGAAATGTTAGCATCATTTATTGATTTTTATATGATGTTAAATTCTAATGCAATGAATGAAGTTGTTAAAACATTAACAATTATTTCAACAATATTTATTCCATTAACATTTATTGTTGGAGTTTATGGTATGAATTTTGATAATATGCCAGAAATTCATTGGAAATATGGATATTTTGTTGTTCTTGGATGTATGGTCGTATTAACATTAATTATGTTGTTATGTTTTAAACGAAAAAAATGGTTTTAAAATTTAAACGTAAAAAATAAAACCAAAAAGAGACTTTCGAAATTTGTTTTATCTTTGAATAAATACTAAGTCTTTTTGTATAGACTATTTTAATTTTGTAATGAAAAAATGTTAATAGTATTCCCATTATGCTTTTAATTATTATGTTATTCGAACGAGAAAACAAAAAACAATATCCTTCAATATATCATAATGATTTAATTTGATTTAGAAACATTTCGTTCTATAATCCAAAAATGAACGATTAAATTAAAAATAAACAATCATAACAAGAAATCATTTGATTGAGTAAACTATATTATCGAATACTATTTTGAAAAAAAAACAACAACATATGGAGTAAAGCGTGGGTTTTTAACACCTCCTATTTTAACTACAACGACTTTTTAATAGAATGAAAAAAAATATATATATAACGATTATCAGTTAATACTTGTAATTTCAAACATGTTTACTCATAATACACTATGAAAACGTTTTGTTTTTTTCATCAAATAATATTATCATGAGAACAAATTACATACTATGCGACATTCATTTTTATGACACATAAGTCATGACATTGATTATCATTACTTACTAAAAAAATAATTTTGATATCGTATTTCTGAAATAGAAACTTGTTGTTTTTTTATTTTCGATTTGATTTAAATATGTGATAATGAAGCAATATTATTTTTCTGTATACAGAACAAAAATAAATAAATAAATTTTTGTTTATTTTAATTAAATGAAAAAAAAAAACAATAGCGAATCTAACATTAATATTCAACTGTTCTAATTTCTCCATTTTGTAAATTAAATTTCTGATGTTTATCATCATGTATAAGTTCTTTTAACATTAAATTATGAGAAATAACAAAAATATGTTGTTCAGAACGATTATTAAGCCAATGAAGAAAACGTTTTGTTCGTTGTTTTATTTGTTTTGGCGAATAAATATTTTCTGGATTAATTTTATCAAGCCATTCATTATTACCAAATGTTTTTTCCATTGTACTTAATTCATCAAATAAATTTGGAAATTTTAACATTAATTGACTTATTGAACGACCAATATCACATGGTTCAGTACAAACTTCTTGTAGATCAGGATGAATAATAAGTGGTATACGATGTTGATTATTAAAAACAAGTAAATATGTTTGTAATGCACGTGTTAATGGTGAACAAATAATTAAATCTATTGATGATATTTTTTTAATCATTTCAATAGCAGCTGTAGCTTGTGTTCGACCACGAGGACTTAATTCTGGATCGGGAATATTATAATTATATGGAGGAATATTATGTAATGCTTCAAAATGTCGCATATAATAGACAGTCTTTTTCGTTGTCATTATCAATTAAATTGAAATAAACGAAATCTTTATATAGAAGAATTTATATTTAATAATTTACTAATCGATCGTCACATGTAGATTTAATATATTATATTAATTACTATAAATTTTTGAAAAAATATACTAGATCCAAATGGGCAATGTAAATAATCTGAAAAAAAAAACAAAACATTTATATTAACATAAAATTATATAATATTTCAATTATAAAAATCAAGATTAATGAATTTAATATCAAGAAATACTTACATTTTGATTTTAATATGAATATAATCAGTTAAAATCAAATCATTACTATTTTGTAAAAACAAAATAGAATCATGTTCGAAAAAATATTTTTATTTTGCTTCTCTAACAAAATAAGAGCATCCTACGATTAGAGCTCAAACTTTTTCACACCCGATTGAACCGTATTTTGATACTCTCAATGAAATTTTTTAATTGAAATTGAATAGTCGCTCCGGAGATATAAGATACTTTTTTCCGGTTTTTTTTTGTATTCGTTGATTAGTGCATCCTAGAATCGTAATCTATGCGACCCAGTACCTGTTGGAAAATATTTTATAGATATGACATTTTTCTCTGATAAAATTTATTGATTATCAAAATAATCAGACAGTGTTGTTTCAAGAATTATCAATTTTATTTTCTTCTGTTCGTCCACATTGTTTTACATCGAAGTATATTTCATATTTTAAAAGATTCAAATCAAAACTGTCTTACTTGACCTAAATTTATATTATATATGTTTTGATAAATATCAAACTGCTGTTTGGATCGTTATTAGAGTCTTGCACTGAGTCGATTTCGGAGGCAATTGAATTTTTTTGCCAAAACTTTAGTTTTAGCATAGGAACTTTTTTGAATTGTAGGTTTTGTTCTATGGTATTCATTGTATAAACTGATGCATTTTGGATGTTCCAACGATGTCTTGAAACTTCCAAAATGCATCAGTTTATACAATAAATACCAGAGAATAAAACCTACAATTCAAGAAAATTTCTATGCTAAAGCTAATTTTTTGCCAAAAAATTTAGTTGAATCCGACACTGACTCCAGAATCAACTTCATTCGGGACTCTAATCGTCATTTGAAGACAAGTGTTAAGTAGTGTGTCTCAAAAATCTGAGTGAGAAAATTTAAGATTTGAAGTTTAGCAATTAGTTGATGAATAAATGACATTTGTTTTTCGCGTTCTATATATGAATATCACACATAACATAATATTTCTTTCTGGAGATTTATCAAGAAACCCGCCAGTTTTCATTGGTCTAAACGATTTTTTGAACCTGCTGGACTGAACTGAATCAAAAAATTCTCGGTAGATTACAACTCTGGCACACCCTACACATTACTCAGGTGACTAGAGCTCGTCAGGTCCAAAATTTTCGAATCCGGCAGGATCTACATATAATACTGATCATAGTCTGCACAGAAATTTCGTATATTCTTTTCTTTTTTTAAGTTTTTCCATTGATGATAACCTTCATTGATCGATTAGAAGTCTTTATTCGTATTGAAAAAAGAAATTCATACAAATACTAAAATATTCGATGCTGCTACGAAATCACTTGATTAGTTAATCGGAAGGAGGAAGTACCACGGGTGATTACACAATCGAAAAATATCCGAGCGATAAATACGAATAAAGTTTGCGATGAAGAGTCTATTTTATCTATAGCATTTTTCTATTATGACGAAGAGAGATAGACTCTAACATATATTTTAGCAATATCATTATAGTAAAACATATATCAATATGTTATAGTTTCTTTTGAAAAACTTCTTGAACTTTTTATCTACATATTTCGATCTATTTTTCATTTCAAAGAATCTTATTGTAAATAATAACAACAAAAAAAAGAAAACCAAATATACAAAATAGTTTAACTTTACTTATATTCAATTTCAAACATTTGATCAAAAGAATTTCTTAAAAAATGTTCTTCATTTTGAACTATTTTTTGCTTATATAATATATTCATACAATCAAAAGCATTAATTAAATCATTACATGTTAATTTTGTTGATGGTCGTCGAGATTTTCTTGCAAATTTTTGAGCAAGTTCAAGTAGTTGTTTAGTCATTTGTTGACAATAATCATATATAAAATTCATATTAATATCATCTAGATTATTTGTCATATCTAAATAAAAAACACAAAAAAAAAAAATTTTTTTATTAATTGATTTTTATTTAATTTAGCTGAGGATGAGATTTTTACTTTTTACTAATAAATTAAATGGGTTTGAGAAGTTTAGCAATAACGCAATAAATCAAAGAGGCTAAACCAATGGAAGAATCCTGTAGTGACCAACAAAATTTTAATAGTCTATAAAATGTATTTTTTAAAAATATTGTATCTAAAGTATATGTATACTGTTAAGTGTTTTTTTTTTGTTTTATCTTATTAAAACATAATGTTCTTCTCTACTCAAAATTATCATTATAGAAGAAAAAAAATACAACTTCTTTTCAAAATGTTCTATTCTCTCATTTCATCCAAGAATGATTAAACCTTTTTTTGTATAAAATGAAATACGTCTGATCGTTCTATTTATATCATTATCATATACACGTGATTAATATTTTATTTACGTAGTTATTTTTGAAACTATTATCGAAGATAAAAAAATTAATTATGATGAACTTTTATTGTTATCATTAGCTGAATTAAATAAAAATTTGTTCTAAATTTACTGTCAATTTCTCAAAATGTAATGAATCATCGAGTCGACTGCAGATTTGTTGTTGTTCAATGAAACTTAAAATAATTATAGGAAATTTCTCATAAAAAAATCAATATAATTTTTCTGATTGTAATAAAAAATAGATTAGTCTTTGATATTGAATAGTTTTCAAAAATATCTTCAAAATTAGCGTCATCTATAATAAAATTTTATTCATATCTCTAGAAAGGTTTTTCATCCGAAACTGAATCAAAGATATTTGAAGTCAAAAAAATGAATTTGATTTTTGATAAAAGTTTCTTCCAATCACTTTAAGTTTCATCAAATTAATTAAAAAGTAAATGTATATGACAGCCGTTTTTTGTCACGCTTAATATCATCAGACCGTATATTATTCAAGGAAAAATAGTCATTGAAATATAATAATTTTCATTTTGTTTTTTGAAGGTTAAAAATGTAATTGATTACTTTATATTTCCATTCATACATAGAAGCAACAGATGTCGATATCAATTGATAAACAACTAGATTAACGACTAAGTATTTATACAACTAAGTTTTCTTATTAGCTATGCACGTTAATAAAATGACTACAGACATTTGAATAGTGCAAGATTTTTTGTACGAAATGCTATCTTTCGTTTTGACCTGTCTATCTCTCCTTCGTTCGAAAGTTATCAGCATTTTTCTATTTCGTTTTTTTATTTAAAATATAGACAAATTGAAAAAACTCATAATTTAGTCAATGATAAGTTGTAATGACTTGATATTTTGACTACGAATATCCATCGTAGTTTAGATGGTTTCTAAGACAAAAAACTGCTCTCATCCTCGGAGTGGTAACCAGAGGAAAAGGAAAGAATGAAATGTACTGTGGCCTAACTCCTTCCATCAGACCGTCGCTACTTCGAAGTCTACCATAACTCTATTTACCTAGCAGAATCCTGAATATGAGTGTAGGTGATTGTTAAGACAATATTTTCATTCTAATATACAGATACACACACACACACTTCGCTCTATAGTATGTCTATCTCTGGTTAAACTTTCAGGTCTGTACAATTAACCATAGGTGTATTATGAATTTTTCAATTTGTTTAGATGTTGCAAGGAAAAATAGAAAAATGCTCATAGCTTTTGAAAAACTGCATCGAATGAAATATAAATGAGCCAAAACGGAAAGTGTCATCTTGAGTAATTTCCTCGTCAGTTGATATTTATGATGTAGGATTCTGTCTTACGGAAAAACATTCATTTTCTTATTTGCATGAAAAAAAAAGTAGTTGTATCTATCAGAATAAATCAATTCAATAAACCCCCCGACACATTAGAAGACCCCCCACCCCTATAGTAGAGATGACCCTCTATTGAATCAACAACCCAAAGGATAGATTAGAGGACCTGCTCACTTGCTTCTAAGGGGATCGTCAGAGGAGATGGGTGGGTCTTCTCATCTATCCTTCACTTCGTTGACTCAAGGGAGGGTCATCTCTGCCACAGGGGTGGGGGGTCTTCTAATGTGTCGGGGGGTTTAGTATGAGTCTTGATAGATTATAAAATATAAAAGGAAAAAGAATTAACCTGGTTTGACAGCTATGTTTTTGAGTCTTATATGTAATCACTGATTGTCAACAATTCAAAAGACCATATATTAATTTGTTATTTATGTCGACAAATAAACTAATCTTATTGAAAGTGCAAATTCAATATCTCGTGTCTAATTTCAATGAGAGAAAAGAAAAAATGTTTTTTTTTTTTTGCTTCTCTTTATATCAATTTTGTTTGTCTTGGTATAAAATATCCATAGCATGACATTTTATTTGAATACAACATAAAAGAAATAAAAAACAACAGACAATCAATTTATTTGAAAATCTATATTAGTTTTGTAAAAAACAAAAAACAATTTATGACGTAGGTAACTACTTTTTCAAATTGATTATATTCTCTCGGAAATTTTGATTATTCAAGAAAATAATCTATGAAAAAAATTTTCTATACATAATATATTCATTTATAAGATTTCATACGTTAAACTAAATAGTAGATGATGGTTGTGACATTAAAGTACCAAACATATAATATATTAATATAAATGTAAAGGCAAGAACAAATTTCGTTCTACTAATTAACGAAATGAAATAATGTTATGCATAGTAGTAATCGACAAAAAAAAAAAACAAATTATAATAATTCATTGCATCAAAATTCACTGTATCGAACATTTTTTTTTTTTTATCATTTTGCAACATTTCATAACGAAATAGTATCTTTTGTTTTCAAACATGTATATAGATTTTTTTGAGAATAGATTATTACAAAAGAAGAAAAATTCATAATGATTAATTCATATGTAGAATTTCTTAAATAAATTAAAGATCTTTATTATTTATGGATTCTCATAAATTTATTTAAAAATAATTTCTCTTTCTCTCTCTCTCATCATTTGCGTCATTGAATAAAAAAAAAAACACAATCCTTTTTTCTATGTAAACTACAATGGTACATATATACCTCAAGTAATGTACTCTGTTGGTTACTTAACTGCATATATAAGACACGATTGATGTTGGAAAAGAAAGTTTTTTCGTTAATACGTCACTTCTTTTCTTTTCTTCAACTTGAATTTTATACAGCAATATAAAAGTAGTTGCTGACGCAAACAGGTAAGACAACAAACTGTAAAAAAAAAAAAGAAACGAAAAATGAACACAACAGGTGACCAAATTTGACGTTGTCTTAGAGAGAAATTTTGCTTGCAGACAATCACTATTTAAGCATAAAAATCCTAAAGGAACTGATATAAATTGGAATTATTATTCGAGAACATAGAAAAATAATTTTTTTTCTTTTTAGTAAATAAAAATAATGGATGATCAAGAAATTAATTTTGCTCAATTACTTGATGCATTTCAATTATTTGATACAAATAAAGATGGTGCTATTAGTTTCGATGAAGTATAATTAAAATAAAATTTTTATTTTATTTTATTTTGTTTTTTTTTCTATTTAGTTACGAGCTGTATGTCAAAAATTACAAATGCCTATTGATACAATGAGATTAAAATATCTATTTCATAATCGTGATAATATATCATTTGATGAATTTTGTCGTATTGTACAAGATTATCGTTCAAATTCAAATGATGCATATTTTCAAGAAACATTTAATGCATTTGATAAAAATTCTGATGGTTATATAACTACTAAAGAAATAAAACAAACTATGAAAGAACTTGGTGAACCAATAACCGATAAACAAGCTAAAGCAATGCTTAAATCAGCTGATTCAAATCGTGATGGAAAATTATCCAAAGATGAATTTCGTACTCTATTTAATCATTTAACACATTTTAAAAATTCGACATTAAGATTACCATCTCCTTCAAATATAACTAATAAACATAATTCACAATAAATTAATTCATTATAATAATAACAACAACAAATATAGATATTTTCTTTTTACATAAATTTATGTACAGAATATAGACAGAAATTATTACATGAAATAAAGCTAATCAAAGAATGGTAAAAATAGAAACAACAAAAGAAAAAAAAAACATACGAAAATTGTATGTTTTACATTAAAACTATTGAAAGATGTTTTACATGTTTACGAACCCTTGAATTCTTTTATAGAATTGTAAAGAATGAAAATGTTAATTTATTTTGCGTTATACTACATATATTTAAGAAGTTGTTCATAGTCAAAAACATATTTTTCAAACTAAAAATATCAATACCAAAATAAAATCTAACTATAAATTTTTAAAATAATAATGAAAAATATTTATTTTTTGATGAATTATTGTTTAACATAATCTAAATGAAATAATTATTTAATAGAAATTTTATTAAAATTCATAATGAAAATTTATACAGACACACACACATGATATAGTTTTTCATACAATACAATCTAAAAGAAGTGTTAAAGTATAGAGGTAAAGTTTTGGATTTCAACGTCACAGATCGTATATCAATAATATCTAGTAATAAAATATGAACTAATTCTTTATTATATTTCTGAAGGATAATGAAGAAATGTAGGAATTTGCACTAACAGATTTTATTTTGAAAGTTCAAAGAACATGAAATTTAGTAATCGTTTACGTAAACATGATTCTAATTCCTGGTTGTAACTATGAACTTTTCGAAAATTTTTATACTAAATAATAAAATAAATACTTCACTACTAGTTTTGAAAATGATCTTAGTTATCTTTACATATAATAGACTTCTGTACATTGTAAAATATAAGCGGAGATTAATAAATCTTTATATCTGTTTTTTTATCATTGTTATAAATTGTTTTTCAGGTTTATGAGTGTAATCAACCTTGTCATAAAACTCTTGTTGTTCATAAACTCGAACAATAGTTTGTGACCTATTGCATATTCATATATTCTTGTAAGCTTTTCTATGCTCATAAACTCTATTTGAGTGTAACGAATGACAGAAATGTAATTAGACAAAATGTTCATTCATTTTTCAGCCTTTTTAAGGAGTCTGCAGAAAATTGAAAGTATTGAGTAAGAATTAAAATTTTGTGTTCTTTCCAAATTTGAGTTCAAAATTTTTGTAGAACTTTTGGAATAGGAGTTATGAACTAATCTTTTAGAGGCACGAAAATTAAAATTGGACACAGAAAATTGAAGTTCTCTATTGGATACACGATATTAGCATTTTTTTGGCATAGAATATATCTGTATCTATTTCTTCATCATTTCTTTTCTTTTTTGACAGTAACCTTCATGTAGATGTTATCTAAATTCTTAAGAGTATTTATTTTGTACTGATAAATATGAAGATAATATGATATTAGAG